TGTGGTGCAACGTGGCGTTGGTGGATGAAGCGAGACATGATGTCCCAGATGTGCTCAGTTGGATTCAGGTCTGGGGAACGGGCGGGCCGGTCCATAGCATCAATGCCTTCCTCTTGCAGGAACTGCTGACACACTCCAGCCACATGAGGTCTAGCATTGTCTTGCATTAGGAGGAACCCAGGGCCAACCGCACCAGCATATGGTCTCACAAGGGGTCTGAGGATCTCATCTCGGTACCTAATGGCAGTCAGGCTACCTCTGGCGAGCACATGGAGGGCTGTGCGGCCCCCCAAAGAAATGCCACCCCACACCATTACTGACCCACCGCCAAAGCGGTCATGCTGGAGGATGTTGCAGGCAGCAGAACGTTCTCCACGGCGTCTCCAGACTCTGTCACGTCTGTCACATGTGCTCAGTGTGAACCTGCTTTCATCTGTGAAGAGCACAGGGCGCCAGTGGCGAATTTGCCAATCTTGGTGTTCTCTGGCAAATGCCAAACGTCCTGCAAGGTGTTGGGCCGTAAGCACAACCCCCACCTGTGGACGTCGGGCCCTCGTACCACCCTCATGGAGTCTGTTTCTGACCGTTTGAGCAGACACATGCACATTTGTGGCCTGCTGGAGGTCATTTTGCAGGGCTCTGGCAGTGCTCCTCCTGCTCCTCCTTGCACAAAGGCAGAGGTAGCGGTCCTGCTGCTGGGTTGTGGCCCTCCTACGGCCTCCTCCACGTCTCCTGATGTACTGGCCTGTCTCCTGGTAGCGCCTCCGTGCTCTGGACACTACGCTGACAGACTCAGCAAACCTTCTTGCTACAGCTCGCATTGATGTGCCATCCTGGATGAGCTGCACTACCTGAGCCACTTGTGTGGGTTGTGTGATTGACTTGGAGTTACATTGTGTTGTTTAAGTGTTCCCTTTATTTTTTTGAGCAGTGGATATGTATATATATATATATATATATATATTTATATTTCTAAACATTATGTTTTGTCTATTTTACACCAAGTTTGTGATCTTTAGATTGCGTAAATCTCATCTTTGTTAGCACTTTCCAACTAAAAGTTTGACCGGTCTTTCTAAAACTCTCCATATTGAATCATATATCATTTGAAAGTTTTCTACAGCACAACGTTAGCTAGTCCAAATCAAGTCATATTCCTCGCCCTTTAAAACAGTTAGAGCATCATCATTTTACACACAGGTTTTTTAAAATATCTTATCATCCTTATTTCATGTGGCATTTTATCTGTAAATATAAATAATCCATGAAAAACAATATCTTGATAAACTCTTCTGTAAATGTCTTGAGTCTTATCAACATGCTGGAAAATGGATTTGCCATACACAGACCTGTATGTGTAGCCAACAAAAGCACTTTCGTATGACGGTCACATCACGTACATCAAATCCTTGTGACTTTGCTGCAGGGGAATAAAGACACGAGAGACTGAGTTTACTTTCTATTGTGTCGCCTGAACAAAAAGCTCTTGTGAAAAGGATCAGGGTCCAGTCTGACCACCTCTTCCTCTAGTGAGGAGGAAACTTTGATATGTAGAGCAAGACACTTAACCCTTCGTTGCTACAGAGGCGTCAACCTCTGACATGTATAGCAATTGTAAGTCTCTTTGGATGAAAGCGTCAGCTAAATGAATAGATGAAAGCAGAAAGTCAAATGTTAACAATAATATATATACAGTGGGGCCAAAAAGTATTTAGTCAGCCACTGATTGTGCAAGTTCTCCTACTTAGAAAGATGAGAGAGGTCTGTAATTTTCATCATAGGTACACTTCAACTATGAGAGACAAAATGAGAAAGAAAAATCCAGGAAATCACATTGTAGGATTTTTAATGAATTTATTAGTAAATTATGGTGGAAAATAAGTATTTGGTCACCACAAACAAGCAAGATTTCTGGCTCCCACAGACCTGTAACTTCTTCTTTAAGAAGCTCTTCTGTCCTCCACTCGTTACCTTTATTAATGGCACCTGTTTGAACTCGTTATCTGTATAAAAGACACGTGTCCACAGCCTCAAACAGTCAGACTCCAAACTCAACCATGGCCGAGACCAAAGAGCTGTCGAAGGACACCAGGAAGAAAATTGTAGACCTGCACCAGGCTGGGAAGAGTGAATCTACAAGAGGCAAGCAGGTTGGTGTGAAGAAATCAACTGTGGGGGCAACTGTAAGAAAATGGAAGAAGTACAAGACCATTGATAATCTCCCTCGATCTGGGGCTCCACGCAAGATCTCATCCCGTGGGGTCAAAATGATCATGAGAACGCTGAGCAAAAATCCCAGAACTACACGGAGGGACCTGATGAATGACCTGCAGAGAGCTGGGACCAAAGTAACAAAGGCTACCATCAGTAACACACTACGCCGAGAGGGACGCCAGGCGTGCCCCCCCCCTGTACATGTCCAGGCCCGTCTGAAGTTTGCCAGAGAGCATATGGATGATCCAGAAGAGGACTGGGAGAATATCATGTGGTCAGATGAAACCAAAATAGAACTTTTTGGTTAAAAACAGAACTTTGGAGGAAGAAGAATGCAGAGTTGCATCACCATACCTACTGTGAAGCATGGGGGAGGAAACCTCATGCTTTGGGGCTGTTTTTCTGCAAAGGGGACAGGAAAACTGATCCGTGTTAAGGGAAGAATGAACGGGGCCATGTATCGTGAGATTTTAAGCCAAATCCTCCTCCCATCAGTGAGAGCGTTGAAGATGGAACGTGGCTGGGTCTTCCAGCATGACAATGATCCCAAACACGCCGCTCGGGCTCCGTTAAAAAGCATTTCAAGGTCCTGGAGTGGCCTAGCCAGTCTCCAGACCTCAACCCCATAGAAAAGCTGTGGAGGGAGTTGAAAGTCCGTGTTGCCCAGCGACAGCCCCAAAACATCACTGCTCTAGAGGAGATCTGCAGGGAGGAATGGGCCAAAATACCAGCTACAGTGTGCAAACCTGCTGAAGACTTACAGGAAACGTTGACCTTGAGTACTGACCAAATACTTATATTCCACCATAATTTACAAATAAATTCTTTAAAAATCCTACAATGTGATTTCCTGGAATTTTTTTCCTCCTCATTTTGTCTCATAGTTGAAGTGTACCTATGACAAAACAGACCTCATCTTTCTAAATAGGAGAACTTGCACAATCAGTGGCTGACAATACTTTTTTGTGTATCTCTCAAAATAAATCATACGTTGAAAATGTCATGCTTTTTTGACAAGCAGCACATCTATTAAAGTAACAATGTTTTTCCACTGGTTCTCAGTTTGTGAGGAAATACATTTTGTTGTAATATTTGGGAGTTTCTGTCTGATTTAGATCTCTCACATTACTTTTTGGAGCAGGTCTTTATTCTTTTGCTACTCTGGAATGAAGTTGGTTCAATATAAATAAAAGTAGCTCAGATGTAGTAAAGGACTTTTGCCATGTTGCTGTAGCTGAGCTTGCTACGTTTCTCCTGGTTGTAGCTTCAGTGTAGTGAAGCTTCATTTAATGCAGAGTTAACTGGTAGCTTGGCTCACTACATTTTCCAAGTGGTTTGTCCAACACTGTAAACACTAGTGTTTTGTTAATTATAAATACAATTGTTAAATATTTAAAGCAGAGGTCACTAATAGGCGGACCGCCGACCTACAGCCCATTTATTATTGAGACTTACTACCTCGTGACGGAGCGTTTCTATTTTAACCCGCGCAGCTTTTCTAGCATTTACTGTACTGGTTTAGAGGACCAGGAAACTCACAGACCAATCGCATGTGCTCCAATCGTCTCATGTGACGCTGCTCAGCCAATCAAATCTGTGCATACCGATGCTTGCGAGTCGAGTCCGCGAGATTCACCAGAGACGTTTTGGAAACACACCCGAATTGAGGAGACGAAAGATAAAAGAGATTTCACATGACTTTTAATCAAGAATGTACAGATTTTTACATGTACATTCCTCCCACGGGCAGTTCAAAACCAGAATATCTCACAGATCTCCAATATGCGAGCTGGAGCTCACGTTTCTCACTGAACAACAGAAAGTAGGAAAGTGGTAGCTCTGTAAGAGGAAATGAAAGAGAAGAGGAGGCATTACAGCTGTTCATTTGTGTGTTTATTATAAAATTGGTTAAGACTACACTTCATCACTTCAAGCTACACTTTTTATTACATTTTTTCTAAAAATTAGGCACTTTAGTTTACTTAAATTTAGAATTTATTATTTGAATAGTTATTATTTATTATCCCTCCAGTTTGATGTGAAAACTGACTGAAATATTATTTGATTTGACAGTCCGTTGTTGACTAAAAACATGTGTTGATACAACTATAGGTTATAGTGCTGAATGATAATGCAAGTTCGTCGTTTTGATGTTCCGGACCTTTGCTTCAGGAAATGTTCTCTAACTAGACCTCTTTGAAATCTAATTGAATACCCCTGATCTAAAGCAAAACAAATGCACACATTTAGATGCATATAATTATTTGCTGCTGAGAGAAACACCTTCTTGGTGCCTTTATTCTCTGTTAACTTCATCATTTAGCCTCATCTGTCTCTGTGAAATACAGTCCTTTATTGATATGAAATTCCCAAGTCAGTTTTGTGCAAAATCACAAACTTGTCTCAAAGCTTTACAATCTGTACATCATGTGGCCTCTCTGTCCTCAGACCCTCTGTTTCTGACAGAAATTACTCAATACAAGTTGAATCTGATCTGAGAACAGTCTGGAAACAGTTTAGTTGTTCATGTGTGAATGCTGGTCAAACTGTTTATTTAGCGGGACAACATGCAGAGGACAATATTTGACATCCTGCTCTCATATTAGTTGTCTTCTTCTTCAGGTCCTTTTCTCAGACAGTGAAAGAATCCTGGAGACAGTTGACACAGATGAGTTTCAGCCTGTTTCTCTCTCACACTGACAAACTGAGGAACACTGCTTCATGTTGAACAGCAGTTAGGACTCATGTTGGATAGAAAATCACTCTGACTGTGATTCTTCCTCCAGGGTGGACCATGGTGGAGAGCAGATGTTAAAACCTGATGTGAGGAAGTGTAAGTGTGGATTCAATCTGACTCATGATGACAAAACAGCACACAGTCAGTTTCTCTTAATACAAAGTTGATAGTTGTGATATTTATTCATTCAAACATTACTGACTAAATGCATCATCATTAAACTTTATAGAAATGAACAACATCAGCACACAAACAAAGAATAAACCTTCAGATGTGTCTGATGATAAACTGCTGCTGTGTTGTGTCTCGTTCTCCATCAGATCTCTGTGAACTCACACTGGACACAAACACAGCAAACAGAAACCTCAAACTGTCTGACAACAACAGGAAGGTGACACATGTGTGGGAGAAGCAGCCATATCCTGATCATCCAGAGAGATTTGACTTCTGGCCTCAGCTGTTGTGTAGAAATGGTCTGACTGGTCGCTGTTACTGGGAGGTCGAGTGGAGAGGAAGAGTTTATATATCAGTGAGTTACAGAGGAATCAGCAGGAGAGGAGACAGTAAAGACTGTGGGTTTGGAAGAAATGATCAGTCCTGGAGTCTGAGCTGCTCTGATGGTCGTTACTCTGTCTGTCACAATAACAGAGAAACAGTCCTCCCTCTCTCCTCGTCCTCCTCCTCCTCCTCCTCCTCCTCCTCCTCTAACAGAGCAGCAGTGTATGTGGACTGTCCTGCTGGCTCTCTGTCCTTCTACAGAGTCTCCTCTGACACACTGATCCACCTCCACACCTTCAACACCACATTCACTGAACCTCTTTATCCTGGGTTTAGGTTCTGGTCCTCTGGTTCCTCAGTGTCTCTGTGTTCTGTGTAGGAGGGAGACAACTTCCAGTCCTGTGGTTTAAATGTTGGTGGTGGACGAGGCTTCACTTTGGTTAACATCTGGCTCACTGATTGTGCCTTTAATGTCAGAAATGTGTTTTCTTAGAAATGGTGAAATGATCTCAGGGCTGAACTTGTTGTGTACAAACTGTGTTGACTCTGATTTTCACTTTAATAAAGTTTTCTTGGAGCAGCATCTAGTAGCTGCTGATGGCTGCAGAGCTTCTCATTTATTTCAATAAAGGTTTGAAGACAAAAACTCGATTTATTCTGTTACTCAAGTACATTTCTTTTCCTGCTGAGTTTGATCCTCACAAAGGCTAAATCAAAAGATAAGTCAGGCAGGAAGGAAGTGAAGCCTTGAAGGTTTATTATTATTATCTGAAAAATATAGAGATATATAATAGGATTTAGTTTTTTCTCTCAATATTATTTTAATTATTTTATGAAATGAAGTTGTGTCAACAAACATAGTTCATGCAACATACTCCGGTACAGTAGGTGGCGTATGCACCTTTAAAAGTCATGGCTGCAATCTGCCATAAAAGAAGAAGAAAAACACACTCCCAAAGGTGGAACCAAAGTTACCAGCAGTTGTACCACACGAACTACTAGCCAATCAGAGGCAGATTTGTCAAAAATAACGCGGAACTCTGGAACAACACACTTGGTTTTTTGGTTGGTGGACGAGAGATGGCAGAAGGAAGTGACGGTTCAGGAAGTGAGTTAGGAGAGATGGTCGAAGGTGGCGGGAGTTATGAAAAGTGGAATATAGCAGGTAGGAAAAATAAGCGTAAAAAGAGCCTAAGATCGGATGGGAGTGATAGTGACGGGAGAGCAACTGTAACTGAAAGGAGGAGAGAGGATTTCAAGGCAATAGTAAAACTTGTGCAAGATGGGGCTTCATTCTGCGATTGGAATCCAATACAGCTAACTAAATCCATAAGTAAAGAAATCGGGGAGGTAAGGAGTGCTAAAATATTGCGAAATGGATCATTACTAATTATATGTAAGGATAGAGTACAACAAGGAAAAGCAGTCAGAATGAATAAAATAAATGGCAAGAAAGTACAATGTTCTCTGATGACTGACAGAAAATTGGTCAGGGGAGTTATTACAGGGATTCCAGTAAATGTAACAGCAGATGATGTTAAAGGAAATGTAACAAATGCCAAAGTGAGTGAAGTCAGACGTCTTAAAGCAAGCAGAAATGGGATTAAAAGTGACAGTCTCTCTGTACTAATCACATTTGATGAGGAAAGACTCCCGGAAAAGATCTTTATTGGATATATGTGTTATGATGTGAGGCCGTATGTTCCCCCACCTCTCAGATGTTTTAAATGTCAGAGGTTCGGACACGTAGCATCCGTGTGCAAGGGAAAGCAAACGTGTGGTAGATGCGGTGGAAACCACGAGTATGGCAAATGTGCAGAGGGGACAAAGCTGAAGTGTTGTAATTGTGGAGGAGAACATAGCTCAGCTTACCGCGGATGCGAAGTTAGTAAAAGAGCGGCAGAGGTGCAGCGAGTCAAGGCTACTCAGGGAATAAGCTACGCAGAGGCAGCAAAGAAGGTTTCAGTAGACGCGCAGGTGACGAGGCAAAATGACACTAGAAATAAAGATGCAGGGAAATGTGTAGGGTGCGATAAAGTGAAGGAGGAAACTCTGATTGTGAACAAGAATGACTTTGTATTCTTTATGGCAGATATTGTCAACTGTTCAGCACAGACAAAAAGCCGAAATGAAAGGATCAAAATAATTGTCAAATCAGCTGAGAAGTACCTTGATGTGAGGGGGCTGCACTGGGAAACAGTTAAAGACATTCTTAATGAAGATAATCAGTCATCTCAGACATGTGTTGGATCCTCTTAATGGTGCTAATTATACTCCAGTGGAATGCAAGAAGCTTAATTTCAAATGGCCAAGAGTTCAAAAAGTATATTGATAAATTAGAAGAGAAACCTGATATAATTTGTATACAGGAGACATGGTTAAAGCCACAGTTGGACTTTATTATAAAGGGATATACTGCTGTTAGGAGAGACAGAAATCCTGGCAACGGTGGAGGCGTTGTGACATTCATACAAAATGGAATGAGTTATAAGGTTATACGTATAAGCACAGATCATGAATCAATTGCGGTTAAGGTATGGACTAATAGAGGTAATATTGGCATAATTAATTACTATAATCCTTGTGGGAAAATAAGTCTAGATATACTAGAGAATGTAGGAGGACTATTGCAAGATAATGTGATATGGTGTGGGGATTTCAATTCACATAACTCACTATGGGGTTGCAATAAAACCGATTTAAATGGTTTAGCAGTAGAAGAATTTATAGATAATCACTGTTTGGTATGTATTAATAATGGGGAAGGAACACGATACAATAGTGTGCAAAACACAGAGGCAGCGCTTGATTTAACACTGGTGTCTACTGAAATACAAGGTTTAAGCACATGGAGCGTGATCAAACATACCACAATAGGAAGTGATCACTACCCTGTGGTAACTAAAGTTGGCATTGAAGGTTTTTATGATGAGGGAAAGAAAACTCCCAGATGGAAATTGGGAAATGCTAACTGGGATGTTTATCAAAAGATCAGTACAAACAGATTCAAGAAACTCAAAGAGGAGAACCAGACAGATGTAAACATAATCAATAGTACAATAGTTAATGAGATTATTCAATCGGCTGAGGAAACAATCCCTAAGAGTACAGGAACTAAACGGACCAAGAGTGTACCCTGGTGGAATGACAACTGTAGTAAAGCCATAAAGGCCAGGAATAAAGCATTTAGAGAACTCAAGAAACATCATTCTCAGGATGCATTGATCCAGTATAAAAGGGCCCAAGCAATAGTAAGGAGGACAATTAGAACACAAAAACGAACATTTTGGAGGCAGTACTGTAGCACTATTGGAAGGGAAGTACAGCTGTCAGATGTATGGGGCATGATTAGAAGAATGGGGGGGATTAGAAGAAATTATGAGATACCAGTGTTGAACACTGGGAACAAAATGGCTGTCAATAACTTAGAAAAGGCGGAACTTTTTGCACAAACATTTGAAAGGGTTCATAGTTCGTGTAATCTCACAGATGAGGCTAGGCAGTGTAGAGAGGAAATCTTAATGAAGAATCCCAAAATAACAGAGAAAAGGGAGGTATCAGGAGATCCGTTAGATCTACCGTTTAATATGTTTGAGCTAAGAAGAGCAATTACGAGTGCTCGTCAGACCACTCCAGGGAAGGACGCTGTATGTTATGGAATGTTGGCACACATGACAGATAGTGCACTAGACACGGTGTTGGGTTTGTTTAATAAAGTTTGGGATGTTGGCCAACTTCCTTTAGCTTGGAAACAAGCAATAATAGTGCCCATTCCAAAACCAGGAAAAGATCAGTCAGACCCTTCCAGTTATAGACCTATTGCATTAACCTCACACTTGTGCAAAATTATGGAACGAATGGTCACCGAGCGTTTAACATATTTCCTAGAGAGTAAAGCTCTTCTGTACCCGTACCAGAGTGGGTTCCGTAGAGGTCGGAATACAATGGATTCAGTACTGTGCCTAGAATCAGACATCAGGAAAGCACAGACCAACAAAGAAATACTGATAGCTGTATTTTTTGACGTTGAAAAAGCATATGATGTGCTCTGGAAAGAAGGGTTACTTATTAAGTTGAAGTCATTGGGTATTGGTGGTAGAACATATAATTGGGTTATGAACTTTCTATTTGACAGGGAAATACAAGTAAGAGTTGGCACAGAATACTCCAGTGTATATAAGGTGGAAAATGGAACTCCGCAAGGTAGTGTGTGTAGCCCATTGCTATTCAACATAATGATAAATGACATCTTCTCTCAGGTTGAACAAAGCGTAGGGAAATCTTTGTACGCAGACGACGGGGCTCTGTGGGTAAGAGGCCGCAATGTGTTGCACGTCAGTAAGAAAATGCAAGCTGCAATAGCTGCTGTGGAAAAATGGGCAAATAAATGGGGATTCAAGTTATCTGTTGCAAAAACACAGGTGATCTGTTTCTCAAGGCGGCATAAAGTCACGCCTATTTCCATGAAGTTATATGAACAACCACTTAAGCAAGTCAAAACAATTAAATTTCTTGGGGTTTGGTTTGATGAGAAGCTCACCTGGAATACTCATTTAGATAAAGTTAAGAACAAGTGTAAAAAGGTCATCAATATACTTCGTTGTCTGTCAGGACAAGAGTGGGGAGCAAGCAGAGCAGCTCTACAAAATATATACTGGGCACTCATGAGATCCGTTTTTGACTATGGATGTGTAGCGTACATGTCAGCAGCAGAATCAAACCTTAAGAAGTTGGATGTATTACAAGCTCAGGCCTTGAGAATTTGCAGTGGATCAGTCAGAACATCTCCAGTGTCAGCAATGCAGGTGGAAATGGGAGAAATGCCGTTAAGAATCAGGCGAGTAAAGTTAATGTTGGCATACTGGGTTAATCTCCAGGGGCAATGTGACTCTCATCCTGCCAAGAGTCTCTTAATAGATTGCTGGGAACACAATGAGACAAATTTCACAAGTTTTGGGTGGATTGGTGATGCAAAGGCAGAAGTCATAGGATTACGACAATTAGACTACAGCCCTACAGTGTCACAGTCTTCCATTCCTCCCTGGTTATTCCCAACACCAATTGTAGATCTAAACATACAGCAGGAGTTGAAGGATATGTCAAAGAAACTTCCAGCATGCAGTATAGTACAGAATTACTTTGATTTACATTTTTCAGACTCCATGTTTATATTCACAGATGGCTCCAAAGATCCTGATACAGGGCGTGCAGGTGCAGCAGTCTTTTTCCCAGCAAGTGAGTCATATATCAAGAAAAGAATATCAGATCATGTCTCAGTGTATACCACAGAGTTGACTGCAATAGTACTGGCCCTGCAGTGGATAGAAGAGAGGGAAACAAATAATACTGTCATTGCATCTGATAGCTTGTCTGCTCTAATGAGTATTAAATCTGGCAAATCATCATTTAGATCCAAAATCCTCAATGACATATTCCTTATATTGTACAGGATGGAGCTAAAGGGTTTATCCACATGCTTCCTTTGGGTTCCTGCTCATGTTGGTGTGGAGGGAAATGAGCAGGTGGATATTCTGGCCAAAGGAACACTCAAAATCAAACATGTAGACCTAAAAACCCCTTTAACTAAAGATGAAGCTAAGACATTTATCAGGACCTATGCACAGTCAGTTTGGCAGGAGCACTGGGACAACAGTGAAACTGGAAGGCACCTATATAATGTACAGAGACAGGTTGGTGCCGGCAGGACGGTGGGCTGGAAACGTAGGGAAGAAAATATAATCACTCGTCTGAGAATAGGACATACAGGTCTCAACCTTTCATTATATAAAATAGGTAAGCACCCAACTGGGAAATGTGTATATTGTAACCAACTAGAAACGGTTGAACATGTTCTCCTTCAGTGTAGGAGATACACTATCAATAGGGAACGCCTCTTTCAGTCATTACGGAAGGCAAAACATCATGATATCTCATTGGCGGGTCTCTTGGGGAAAACAGCAGGCCAGATATATTGTCATATAATTAAGTTTCTTAAAGAAACTGAGTTAGGAAAAATAATTTAATTTATGTTTATTTTTGTTTGGTTTTTTTTTTTTTGTTGTTGTTGTTGTTTTTTTTTTTTTTTTTGGTTTTGTTTATTTCATTTATTTCCTGCCTAATCTCTCGTTCCACACTCCAGTCCAGCTTGTGGCGGTAATGCACCGTTAAACTGGTTTGCCAACCGCCATTAAACCCTAAAGAAGAAGAAGAAGAAGAAGAAGAAGTTGTACCACACGGAGGTATTTCAGCAGGAGCCGGAAGTGAGTTAAAGTTGTGGCAACGCGCGGAATAGCTGAAGTTGTGAGTTAATTTAGTATTTGTGGAAGATTTGTGAGTTTATTCAGGTAAACATGGCGTCTAAACGTAAATGTGACGCCACGGTTCCTGCGGAGGAAAGTGACCAACTGCTCATCCGCCCGCTGTGAGTTCAAACACAACGTTTACCTGGTTTAGCCTCCGTGGCTGCTGCTCTCTCACCAAACTCCATTCAGAAAAACACCAATTTAGTAGATCTTCCTTTTGTCAACAAAGGCCAAAGCTTTTTTAAACTTGCTATTTAAACTTAACTATTCATTAGAGGCAAGGCTTCATTTCGGCGCAGACCAAATGTACCAAACATTATTTATTTAAGAAGGTTTTCAACGTGGAAATCTAACCGCGAGACTTGACGTTAACTTCAACAACATTCATTAAAATCAGATGCTTATTGGTGGATTCTAGAAATTCTGAGTTAATAATTTAACTGATTAATTAAATTAAATAACTGGTATTTGGCTTGTTTTTGCCTTTGCTGACAAAGTGTTTTAAAATTGCTTAATTTTTGAATGGAGTTCTGCTTGATGTTCCTCTGGGGGCAGATATGCATCAGCTGGTCCTTCTGTTATTATTGGTTCTGCTGGGTTTGATAGCTGAGTTTAGTTTGTTAACGGTTCTTGGGGGAAGAGTTTTGTCTTTAAGGCTGAAACATCTGGATGTCAGTTAGACATGAAAGTGATGCTGTCTCTGTGTGTTTGTGTCCAGAGGAGCAGGACAGGAGGTGGGACGGTCCTGCATCATCCTGGAGTTCAAGGGACCAAAGATTCTGGTCTGTTTTTAATCCCATCAGCTGCACGGTATTCAGCTTTCAGTCACCTCAGTGTGTAAAAATGTGTGTGTGTGTTGTGGTTCAGCTGGACTGCGGGATCCATCCTGGTCTGGACGGGATGGACGCTCTGCCGTACATCGACCTGATCGACCCGGCTGAAATTGACCTGCTGCTCATCAGCCAGTGAGTTCCCAACATTTATCAGCACATCAACCAGAGAACACTTTAATATACACACACTCAGCTGTACTAGCAGGTGGACTTTAATGTCCAAGTGTGTTGTTTTCCCTTCTCTGTACAGACTCGACCTGTGTATGAAATGTGCTTTCTAATCAAACTGCTTTGCCTGACATGATGCTGAGAAATCAGACCAACATAAAGGTCAGGGCTGATGTGGACCTGGAAACTCCTCAGTAACTGTTGCCCTCCCTCTCAGCTTCCACCTGGATCACTGTGGAGCTCTGCCCTGGTTCCTGCAGAAGACCAGCTTTAAAGGACGCACCTTCATGACTCACGCCACCAAGGCCATCTACCGCTGGCTGCTGTCCGACTACGTCAAAGTCAGGTAAGACCAGGACCCAGAGTCACATCAGACTCCCATACTACAGGGACCTGGACTCACCAGGACAGGATATGATGTACTGTGTTTAATATTCTTCTGTGTATACCATGTGGAGTATAACCTGCAGTACTTCAGCGTGTGTAACCTGCAGTACTTCAGCGTGTGTAACCTGCAGTACTTCAGCGTGTGTTGTAGTAAAGCTGACCTGTTTTCTGCAGTAACATCTCTGCAGACGACATGTTGTACACGGAGACGGACCTGGAGGAGAGCATGGAGAAGATGGAGACCATCAACTTCCACAGTGCGGACGGTAACAAGTGGTGAACACAGCGGTGAGGTTCATTCAGATTTATTTAAATACGCTTTTTCCCACCACAATTTTGGCGTTGTCGGCTCGTCACACACGCGAGAGGACTCGGACACTCGGAGCTGCAGGTGAAAAACCGTATGGCCAAAATACGGGTGAGACGTTGAGGGCCTGACGCCTGAGTGTCTGAGGCTCCCTCACCGCTGTGATCCACAAAGAACCTGGTGGCTGGCAACACTCTCTTTGTGGTGAGTAGACTGTTCAAGTGGAACGATTCTCGCTGCCTCTCAGGGTGAGCGTGACAGACGTGTCAGCAGGGCAGGCCTGGGGCCGCTGTGTGAATCGGCAAAGCTTTGTGTTAAAGGTACTATAGTCAAGAAATCACTGGGGGGCAGTGGATTTCTTATAGGTCTGGGACCTGCTGTTGCATCAGTTCTTTTGGGTCTGGGACCCACAGTAAAGTAGGGGTGTGTGAGTCATAGGACTCGCAATAAAATTGAAGAAAAACAATTTTATTTTTTTACTATTTTACTTGGGGTTGCTGCTCCAGGTGATTAACAAGTAATTAGACAGTATTGTTGAATGCTCAATGTGTTCACTACAGATGTATGAATGAAGTGCGAATGAAAACATTTTTTTGAGTGGGCATTGCAAACAGCCTTGTGTGAATGAATTGCGACTGGGGAAAAAAAAACACTAACAGACCGTGTGAATGTTGAACAAAGGCTTTTTGTAAACGGGATAGGATTTCCTCAGACTACTAGCTTTGTTAACATTTAATAGAAACACGTAAGAATTTAGACATTATATAGATCTTGTGACAACCTAGAATTCAGCAGGTTTCACCACCGTGGAAAACCCCGGAAACGCCCATTTTATAAATGAGCCACACTGATTCGTTGCCGGATGGCGCGACAATTAAACCTCCTCCTTTTTGTTTTGTTTGTGCCAGAGAAACTGAACCAGTTTTATTTATCTTTTTTTTTGCTTTGGCACTGGACTGAATTTATTTTTGTGATTTTGAAATGAACTGCAACTCATTTGTGTTTTTGAGATTGTTTGGTTTAAGTGTGCAGAAAACCCGAAATGGAATTTTCAGTTGGTTTGTGTTTTACTTTGTGATTGTATTTTTGTGTGAAATCTTGAAATGCACCAATATTTTGTTTTGTACTAAGCTTTTGAGTTTGTGGTGTTTCTTTCTTTTATGGTCATTCAGTGTTTTTTTTGTTGATTTTAAAGCGGGCTCTTCAGTCTCCACCGACCCTGGGTCTCCCCGACTGTAACACACATTTCACCCAGACTGTTGATGAAAAGGGGGGGTACATGACCTCAGAACCACTACAAGACCATGGGGGACGACTGAGACCTGGAGCTTATTTTTCATCCAAACTGGACTCTGTTGCAGCCAAACTGCCTGAGAGCTGTGGCGGCTGCTGAAAAAGCAGCCATGGCATCACGTGACATTGTGGGTTATTCAGACTTGACATTGTTGGTTCCACATGCTGTCGATGATTTTGCTTGAACAAAAAACATCTCATCTCTCCACATCCAGGTGGCTGAGATACAAGACCGTGTTGCTTGATATATCTAACATTACTGCACTGTACTGAATCCTGCTACTCTCCTCCCAACTCCAGGTGAAGGACAGCCGCATGATTGTGTTGCAGTCATAGCAGAAACCTGCTCTCTAAGGGCAGACTTGCAGGAGACTCCTCTAACAAACCCAGACATGGAGTTGTTTGTGGACGGCTCAGCATCACGTGATCCAGCTCCTGGTAAAAATCGTTTTTGCAGTAACAACTTTGCATGAGACTATTTTGCATCATTTGTGCAACTAACAATGTGGGGCGGCCGATTCAGATCCCACAGGTGGCACACCCACCCCCAGACAAACCATTTGAGCACCTGCAAATGGACTTCATTGAACTGACACTGTCACAGGGGAAGAAATATTGTGTTGTCATGGTAGATATGTTCTCTAAAGGGGTAGAGGCATTTTCAACATCTAAACAGGATGCAGCAGCAGTTGCAAAAGCTTTGATAAGCCAGATCATCGCTGAGCGATCCTAGCTAAGATCTCCAGTGATAACGGCACACCTTTCGTTAGCGCAGCACTGAAGAGTGTAGGGGAGGATATGGGGATTGATCTGAGGCAACATTGTGCTCATCATCCAGCTAGCGGAGGTGCAGTTGAATAAGAAAATGGCACATTGAAAAACAAGCTTGTTAAATGCTGTGAAGAAACAGGTTTAACATGGACAAAAGCTTTGCCAGTCGTTTTAATGCACATGAGAAGCCGGATGAGGGGCAGAGGGGGTCTCAGTCCTTTAGAAGTCCTATTTGGCAGACCATTGAACACGGGGATTGGGCCAGTAAAAAGACAACTCCCTGATACCAGCCAATGTGAGGATGAAATGTTGAGATATTGTGCTAATTTGTCCTCTGTGCTTTCTGAAATTCATATGCAGGTCAAAAACGTCATCCCGAAGGCCGCAGAGAAGAAACTGCACGATCTGGAGCCAGGGGACTGGATTGTGGGAAAGGACTTCAGGAGAAAGGGCTCGCAGGTGGACCGGACCATTTCAGATACTGCTAACAACAGAAACAGCAGTAAAAGTGGCTGAAAGAGCAACTTGGATTCACGCCACCCACTGCATACGAGTGCCAAAGCAACCAAAAGGCCTCAAACCAGGCGAAGATGGAGATCAGTGATTGAGCTGAGCTTTCCCCTGCCTTGTGTTCCTAGGGAGGGAGGGGAGTGGAGGTCTCTGAGACCACCTAGAACCACTAATCTCCCAAACACTCACCGCGGGCACACTGAAACCAACAGATGGCTCTGGAGAGGTGACGGACCGAGACAAAACGGAGGCGTTGTTCTGCTCACTGTCATCATTTCCAAACATGAAAACAACAAACTTGGCCTGACTGAGGGAAAGTTCCAGGCCGAAGAGGAGGAGATGCACGTCCTCCCTGACAGCCCGGCTGGGCTGAAAGACAATGCATGGTATGCAACCACGATGACCACTTCAAGAAAAGTAACCAATCAGAGCTGTTATGCGTGTGCACAGCTCCCTCATGGAGTGGGGAACTCCATACCAGTGAAACCCAGACCAATAAATGTTTCAGAGACACTAGGAGCCCTGTTAACCTTCACTCAAGGGTTTCCCAGGGTGGGCCGAGAAGTTAAGGATATGACCAAGACACTTAACTGTGTAACATCAGCATGGTCAACTTTAGGGTTAGGTTCTGGAACACGTCTCAGATAACCACCAGATGTACCTTGGACATGGGTGTCTTTCTATAGGCCCTTTTTTAGCCGACGTCAGAGGTACGTCACAGCGTTAGCTGGAGGCAAAACAAACGGACAACCGGAGGCGGCCAATACAAACCAGCACAGGGTCGGCTACACAAGGAGCTTAAAATGTCATCTTGTTGTGTTGTCAGAATCGACGGAGTACAGGCAATTTGAAATTTTATCGCATACCTGCTGCCACTGCCATACAAAAACCCGAAGACAGCTGTGGTTAAACGCAATAAAACGAGCGGACTGGACAGAAACGATCATCAAAAATTCTCGCGTATGCAGCGCACACTTCATATCAGGTAAGTTAAGGTAAATAAACTAGTGTCTTTCGTTGATAAAGTAACGTTATCTACATATTTCTCATAATGCTAAATGCCCACTTAAATAGAAATTGTAACGTTAACAAGTATAGTTATTTCTGTCGTGATGCTGACTTTTTGAGGTCATAGTTAGCAAACTTTTTCGAAGTACAACTAATTAGCAGTTAGCTAACTGTTAACGTTAGATAACGTTAACATAAACGTACACTGTTGGTGTCGTCTGCCTTTCAACCGTTGCAGGTTTGCAATTGTAGAAAGTACAGTGAGAAGGCCCGTGTCATGTACAGGTATTATGTTCAAGTAGTTGGATTTGCTAACTTTCACCACAGTTAGTAGCCAACGAAAAGGATAACCTTAGCTAGCTAACTACATAATAAGGTAGGCTGACACTAGCTTTAATTACTTCTTCTTATTTTGTAGGACAGGCTTCTATGGATGAAGACAGCCCTGACTTCGTCCCGTCTGTCTTTTCCTATAAATGGCAGAATGACAGGCCTGTGGAAAAGCTGGAGAGGTAGGTGAAATTGAGTTTTCTTAATGTGGCTAGGTGAGTGTTACCATAGGCTGTAACTCGTGTGTGCAGTCTTCCTCACTAAAATCTCTGTCTTCTCTGTTTTGTTCTGCTTTTCTAAGGCTGGAAAGAAAGAGGAAACGGGAATGTTCAACAGTGGAGCAACAGGCTTCTTGCCATGGTAAGAACATTCAAAATGTTTTATGCACAGTACAATGTTTTTGTCATACATACATTTATCAAACTGCTTTGTCATTTGTTTTTCACAAATGTCTTCCAGCTAATGATGATCCAGTGACACCAGAGGAAGCAGTGGAAGAAGCTGAGGCTATGGTCCCTGAAGCAGCATACAACAGTCTCAGTGAGAAGTATGATCAACTCAACACTGAATATGTCAACTTAAGAAAAGACTTTTACCAACTTAAAGAGGAGAATGAAAGACTGAAATAGGAGCTTCAGAAATCACGCTTCTCATTCTCCACGATCAAAAACAATGCTGCACACTTTGTTTCTCACTGGGTTAACTTCAGTCATCTTCAGTTGGTTAATGTCAAAAATTGAAGACAGTGTGCAGAAGCGAACTGAAAGTCTCATGCTAGAAGATCATTTATTAGTCGTTCTTATGAAACTGAGATTGGGGCTCAGTAACAGAGATATTGCATATAGGTTCAAAGTTTCTGAAAGCACAGTGTCAAACATTCTAAGGTCCTGGTTGCCTGTAATGGCAAACATCTTGAAATCCATTATTAAATGGCCAAGTAAAGGTGCTGTCCTTAAAAATATGCCCAAAAGTTTCAGGCGACATTTCAAGAGATGCAGGTGTATAATTGACTGTACAGAGATATTCATAGAAAGACCTAATAACTTGACTGCCAGGGCTCAAACCTGGTCCAATTACAAGCATCACAACACTGTTAAGTACCTGGTGGGAATAACACCTGCTGGGGCAGTTTCATTTCTGTCCACGGGCTGGGGTGGGAGAGTGTCAGATAAACAGATAACACTTGAATCAGGATTTTTGCACTTGTTGGAGCCCAAAGATGAAATCTTAGCGGACAGGGGGTTTTTGATCAGGGATCAACTTGCTGCTTATGGTGCCACTTTGCGTATACCAAATTTTACCAAAGGAAAGAGTCAGTTACCTGCTTGTGAAGTAGATTCATCCAGACAACTGTCACGTGTGAGAATACATGTAGAGAGAGTTACAAGCAGATGGAAGAGTTTCAAAATTTTGCATTCTGTTATTCCTATTTCCCAAGTTAGCCTTTTGGATGACATGGTGATTGTGTGTGGTGCTCTTACCAATTTGTGTAAATCTGTGGTACCCAGAAAAGAGAGAGTGTGTCGTGTATGAAATATCAGTGTTGTGTGTACAACAATATACTGATGATTTATATGCTTTTCACTCTAATTCAATTGAGAATTGTTTTAATTAATTGTGAATCATCTGTGATTGTATATACATTGTTGTTAATTGTGAGTGGAATTTTTAAGAACCTGGTAAGAAAGAATAATTAAATACAGAAGTTTTATAATTAATTTGCAGTGTTCAGAATTTATTTCTAAAAAATATTTACATCTTAATACTACATTGTACTGTTATCTCATTCTTAATTTACAGGAATCATACTTTAAAATATCTCTTATGCCATTACATACATACATTTCCATACCCAATACCTTATCCACCACATTGAAGGTTTAACTATTTTTGTATTGTAGCCCAGTTCACTAACATGTAGCTGTAAAATAGTACTTATTCCCTGCTGAAATAGAAGCATATATCTCTTCATGGCTAACCGTGAAGATAGACACAGGTGAGTCAGGTGTATTTATCTGCAGCAACTGCAGTGCCAGTTCTGTAGCCTCCTCTTAACTTGTGCACAACTATAATGAAAGAAGTTTTTGCACATGCTACACTCAATCATTTTACCAAACTCTGGCTTTTCACAGGTGTTACAAAACACTGGTGGTTGAAGGGCAGGATCTTGGCTGCGGGTTAGAAGTTCTGGCAGAATGAAAGATACAAAACATTGCTTCGCTTTAGGTAAATCCTTCTGCAAGAGCTCTTCATCTCTTGAGATGCGATTTACAACCAGCTCCTGAGTTGTCCACACCACAAAATCACAGTACTGGACATTGCAGGCAAACATGTGCAGTTGAACCTGGTGGTAGTACTGGTGTGTCTTCTTTAGTTGGAATGTTTTGTCAAGGCAGAAATCCTTAGTGACTGTCACACCCTGTAGGCCTTCCCTGTATTTATATGGGCATTTGATTTCCAAGACCCCTTCCCCACAGCAGGAACACACAACTTTCCCATCTGGAGATGCGCCTAGGTGCGGTTCATCAGGTCGAATCACAAAACCACATGGACTAACCGTTACATTTTGATGGGTTTTGTTGAGCTCTTTGGTGTAACGCTCCCTAGCAATTTCCTCTTTGTCTCTTCCCCATACAGCTGCTGGAACCTGTATGTTGGTGTCATTGTAGCGCATGATTTTGTCCAGGGTGGTTTTGTGCAGATGGTCACCTTTACATACAGTATAAAATCTTGTGCTGGTAATCCTGCCTGCCCTATGAGTGAGCCAGTCTTGGGACTTTGCCTGCAGTTTTGTGATAGTCTCACACTGATCTGGGTGGATGTTCCTTCTCATGTTGAGATAGGCTTCCTCACATTTCTCTCTGATGTCCCCATGTGTGTGCTGTCTGAGCGTAGGGTCGTACAAGGCTGTGAGCGGCTCTGGCAACTCTGGAGGATGCTCTAGCTCAGACTCAGACGCTGTGTCAGTGTCACTGTTTTCTATGCTGGTAAGAACAGCAGCGTCAGGGGCAATCGAATACAGTTCCTGGATGTCTTCATCTGTGAGTTCTAGAAGATGAGATAGGACAACAATATTTAACGCACTTTAATGTGTGTATGTATGCATATTATATGATTGTGTTATAAGATATTGTATTGCTTTCTTGGTTGTCTCATATCTGGTATGTAAAATGTGTTGAGATTCAACTAAGCACTTCAAAGTTTGACTGGACATTTGAGAATGAATCTTCACCTAGCAGAATAGCTCTGACCTGGTCAGGTAGTAATTGCAGCTTAATTCTTAACTCAACAAACCCTCATCTACTCTGGTACATGCCTCTAGCACTGCTATTGAACCTCCTGACTTTGGCTGGAACTGCTGCGGTCAACTGTCTTTTAGGCCTCTGGAAGTTGATCTCCCTAATTCTGGCTGGTTTGACCTCTCTCTTCGTCTGTTTCCAGAGACATTCTCCTGATGTGCCTGCTGGCTGCTCGGTCCTCCCCATCCTAACATACAGCTCCACCTTAAATAGCACTGCGGCTGCATGGCTGCAGCAAGACCCTAGACTGTTATGTCAGATGGAAAATTAAACTGAGTGATAACTTGTTGCTCATCTCATAGCATAGCTAACACACCAACATAGCTAAACACAACATAATGATGGAACATAACTATTAACAACAAATGTTTTTTTTCCATTTAAATTCAATATCAAATGTGATCTTTCTAATCTTATATTAGCTAAGTTACTCACCCAGCCATGCAAGTGCAGTTCGCGGTCAAGACGTAGTTGTTTCTTCTGTTTACAATGACCCAAGCCTGGTACATGGTCGTCTTCTGGCCTTGGCGCTGGCTAGGCAGAACTTCGGATCGTACGACACAAAACTCATCTGTTAAATCTTTATTTTAAGTCTTGTACGTGACCATTCAGTACGTAGTTATAGGCATCTAAGGATTTATACGCCCTCAGTTTGTCTTTACTATACACGCTCGGTTTCTCTATCAGGTAGGTGTAGATGTCAGGCCACTCTACCGGAGGTAATCCTGTCAGTTCGTCCATCCAGAGTGAGTGTGTAGGGGTCGACCAATCTGGTTCCGTCCGTTAAAGTTAACTTTTTAAAATAATTATCACGGTCCCGGACAGTGAGTGACCTTACATATTCAGATAAAATCGGATTTTCTCCATCCATTGTTGAAAAAAAAAAAAGCTAACAACATTTGCTAGCTACCGTTGTTGAAGTATTCAGGGGAATATTTCTGCCTCCAGCTATGCCCCGCCCACACAAATATGTCACAATGTTTACCAACTGAAAAGGGGTCAATAGATCCAGATTGAGTGTCCCCTAGGGAACACTGAAAGACACCATGTTTCTTTGATGAGATAGGACTCCGACCCTGAGACTAAGATAAAAGCTGCATGACCTGTTACGCTGCAGCTCACTCGGATGATACTCTCAGATGTGTATGTGTCCCCTTGAATTCCTTCTGCAGAAGACTTGAATAAAATTCACAGAAAGACAAGTGTTTGCTTTTTCCCACCACACCGTCTACATTAAATCGACTGAAAATGCACATCTAGTGGCCGTTCATGTACACTGGGCATGCACGTGCCAGTGTAAACTTGAAGCAGATGGCGATTTGGCGAAAGAATAAAGTACTACAGACGAAGAACCGCAACAGGTTTTTATTTTGCATGGACCAATAACAAGCTGGGACTGTTACTGAATGCAACACGGGAGTTAAAAGCAGCGGTGGTCGTTTGTAAAGTCTTCCGTTTTTGCCCGTCTTCACTAAAACGCTACCTGGAGTTTAGAAACGCGAAACTGGGTCGGCAGCATTTCCAAACTTCTCCGTTTTAGTCTGGACGGGAGGTGCAAACGTAGCGAAAGGTCTCCGTTTTAAAACCAAAACACAGAAGTGTGGGCGTAATATCGTGTAAAAATTCAAGACTTGGGTCAGATAAGAAAGCTTGAACTTTTACCAACATTTTTATTAACAACAAAACAGACACCAATTAGAATACAAAAGTTCCACCGGAGTGAGTCAGAGATCGGTGCAAAATAGAGCCCCATTCTGTTACCAGAACAGAGACCCGAGTTGACATGAAAACCATGTAACGACTGACTTTCACCTCCTTTTATAGTTCTGTTTCTTGGATCACATCATCTCTTGGCTCTCTTTCCTACTGCACCTGGATCTGGGAAAGTCCAAGATTTTCACGTGCATCAGCATTTGGTGAGAAAGTCTCTGACTGTGCTGCTCCTCCTCTCTGTCCTTTGCATGCCCTCCGCTTGATCATACTTTTTCATCCATAACCTGACTCTTGTGGAATAAACTGGTGTTGTTTGTGCTCTGTGCTAGAAAAAGGACATTCTTACTGTGATGGACTGTATTGATGTATGTTTTGTAATACAATTTTCACAAAATCTGCTTCAGACTAGCTAGAGAGAGTACAGGTGCAGGTCATATAATTAGAATATCATCAAAAAGTTGATTTATTTTAGTAATTCCATTCAAAAGGTGAAACTTGTATAATGTATACATTCATTCCACACAGACTGATATATTTCAAGTGTTCATTCCTTTTATTTTGATGATTATAACTGACAACTAATGAAAACCCCAAAATCAGTATCTCAGAAAATTAGAATATTGTGAAAAGGTTCAATATTGAAGACACCTGGTGCCACACTCTAATCAGCTAATGAACTCAAAACACCTGCAAAGGCCTTTAAATGGTCTCTCAGTCTAGTTCTGTAGGCTACACAATCATGGGGAAGACCGCTGACTTGACAGCTGTCCAAAAGACGACCATTGACACCTTGCACAAGGAGGGCAAGACACAAAAGGTCATTGCTAAAGAGGCTGGCTGTTCACAGAGCTCTGTGTCCAAGCACATTAATAGAGCGGCGAAGGGAAGGAAAAGATGTGGTAGAAAAAAGTGTACAAGCAATAGGGATAACCGCACCCTGGAGAGGATTGTGAAACAAAAGCCATTCAAAAATGTGGGGGAGATTCACAAAGAGTGGACTGCAGCTAGAGTCAGTGCTTCAAGAACCACCACGCACAGACGTATGCAAGACATGGGTTTCAGCTGTCGCATTCCTTGTGTCAAGCCACTCTTGAACAAGACACAGCGTCAGAAGCGTCTCGCCTGGGCTAAAGACAAAAAGGACTGGACTGCTGCTGAGTGGTCCAAAGTTATGTTCTCTGATGAAAGTACATTTTGCATTTCCTTTGAAAATCAAGGTCCCAGAGTCTGGAGGAAGAGAGGAGAGGCACAGAATCCACGTTGCTTGAAGTCCAGTGTAAAGTTTCCACAGTCAGTGATGGTTTGGGGCGCCATGTCATCTGCTGGTGTTGGTCCACTGTGTTTTCTGAGGTCCAAGGTCAACGCAGCCGTCTACCAGGAAGTTTTAGAGCACTTCATGCTTCCTGCTGCTGACCAACTTTATGGAGATGCAGATTTCATTTTCCAACAGGACTTGGCACCTGCACACAGTGCCAAAGCTACCAGTACCTGGTTTAAGGACCATGGTATCCCTGTTCTTAATTGGCCAGCAAACTGGCCTGACCTTAACCCTATAGAAAATCTATGGGGTATTGTGAAGAGGAAGATGCGATACGCCAGACCCAACAATGCAGAAGAGCTGAAGGCCACTATCAGAGCAACCTGGGCTCTCATAACACCTGAGCAGTGCCACAGACTGATGGACTCCATGCCACGCCGCATTGCTG